CATTCCCCGCTCCCCAGCCCCCCCTCCTGATCCCCAGCCCCACTCCCCGCAGCCCAGCGCCCCCTGCCGAGCCCCCAGCCCCACTCCCTGCAGCACGGCACCCACACAGGGGCACTGTGGGGCGCTCTGAGTCACAGTTACCCCCTCAAAGGCAGCCCCAGCCCTGCACGGCGGCGCTGGTGACCGGCCTGGCTCCCAGCCCGGGGCCATGCAGCCACAAGTTAGTATTTTCTGTTCTAAATCAAGACACCATTGAAGAGACACAAACAACTTGACCATTGATTGCAGTGGTGCTGGCCTGGGTGTGACTGGCTGCCTCACTGAACGGGCACAGGGCCTGTCCCCTCTAGGGGGCGCCGGGTCCCACCCGGCCCCAGGGCAGGGACTGGCTGGCTCAGGGGGGCAGGGAATGGGGTACGGGGCCTCTCCCCTCTAGGGGCCGCCGGGTCCCACCTGGCCCCAGGGCAGGGACTGGCTGGCTCAGGGGGGCAGGGAATGGGGCACGGGGCCTCTCCCCTCTAGGGGGCGTTGGGTCCCACCTGGCCGTGGGCAGGGACTGGCTGGTTCAGGGTGTGGGGAATGGGGCACAGGGCCTCTCCCCTCTGGGGGCACCGACTCCCCCCTGGCCCCAGGGAAGGGACTGGCTGGTTATGGGGAGCAGGGAATGAGACATAGGGCCTCTCCCTAGGGGGCACCGGCTTCTACCCCATTGTGGGTGTCTGTTGGTCTCAGCCCAGCTTCTAGTGGGATGGGGGTCCACAGACACCAACTGGAGCAGAGTCCAAGGGCTGGATGGATCCGGAGACAGAGCCCTCCTCTGGGGCTGTGTGTGCTCGTGAGGGTTGGGTGTACCTGAGGGGGCACTGCGTGTTCTGGGGTGGTTGGGTGGGGTGGGGAGGCACTGTGTGTGCTGGGGGGGTTGGGTATACCTGGGGGGCGCTGCGGGTGCTGGGGGAGGGGCAGGGATGCTGTGGGTGGGAGGGGATACCAGGGGCCGCATAGTGCACGGGGCGGGGGTTTCAGGGTTTGTTTCTTCCCCTCTAAACCAAGAGCATGGAGGGGGGGGGCAGCCAGCGCCCTGGGATCCTCCCCTCGCCCCCCGTCCCCGCACAGCAGCCAGCGCAGAACTTCTACACTCCGCAAAGGAAATGTCCACATCGAGACCGATCCAGTAAGACAGACAGACAGACAGAGACATCTCCCCTCCAGCAGGGAGTTAAGGGGGGCAGATCCCCCCCAGGAGAGAGTGAAAGGGGGCGGGTCCCCCAGCAGGGAGTTAAGGGGGGCAGATCCCGCAGAAGGGAGTTTAGGGGGGCAGGGGGCAGATCCCCGGCGCGGGAGGGGGTGGGGGATACCTGGCGCTGCAGACGGGCTGGGGGAGTCTCTCCTCTTTCGCGCAGGCTGTCTCTATCCCTCTCTCTCTGCCCGTCTGAATCCTCCCCCCGCTCCCCAGCCCTACCCCTGGCAGCCGCCCCAGCAGGGAGGGGCCGGACGGGGCTGGCGTGTGTCTGGCGAAGTACAGCCCCCTAGATTTCCCCTCCCCCGGGGGGGGCATCCCCGAACGCAGGGGAACCCCAGAGCTTTCCATCCCCCCCCTCAACGTGCTAATCCCCCAGAACAATGCCCAGAATCCGCCCCCCCACACACACAGACTCAGACTTTGCTGCCCGCCAAAAATCATTCCTCCCAAAATTCCCCCACCAGGTAAAGTGGGGAAGCAAACTGCAGGAGTTTGTGCCCCGTCATAAAAGACCCCCCCAACATTTGACAAGACCCCCGAAAATTCCCCACCCCCCCCCCCCCCCCCCCCCCCCCCCCCCCAGCGGGCCCGGAAGAGGGGAAGGGCGGGGGGCCCCCCCCCCCCCCCCCCCCGGGCCAGCCAGGGACCTCAATCCTGGACAGCAAAGAGGGCAGGTTAATGGGGTCTGTGGAGTGGACCCCACTTGTAAAGGGTTAATAGGATTTCCCCCCTCCCCTGGGCAACTGGGGCTTTCACTTCCCCATTGAGGTTTGCCCAAAATAAGGAGCCGGTGCTGGGGAACCAGGAATAGAAATAGACAGCTTTTTATCTTGGGGAGTGGTTAAAACGCGCGGATGGGGGGCTGGGAGCCAGGACTCCTGGGTT